TAAAGGCACGTGCAGGAAATGTAATGGATCAATTTATAATTTGCTTTTCAATAAATTACTTTACACATTACTTATCATTAAATATTTAATTTGTGTACCCATTCAGGTTTGAACATTTAACAATGTTTGATAGAACAGGAGAAAAATGTCACCTCTCTTCTTTGCTCTTGCTCGGCTCCACGGGTTTAAGTAATGTAATTTCATTTACAGCTGTGTTAGACGCTTCTTCACTGGGTTCATCCACCATTCTCTTTGTTTACGCTTCTGACTGGATCGACTGAGTCCCGTGATTAATCGCACGCTGTAGTGTCTTAAAGGGGAAGGAAATACCAGCCACCAGCGCAGAAAGAAAAAACAGCAGAATTATTTACCGACTTATTTACCAAATTTACTGACATTGGAAAATTTACGTTATCATAGTGAAGGACGGTAACGGTAGAAAATCTAGTTTATTGTCCCGAATAATTCACAGGCATCATGACATTAGGAGTGCATGATGAGAACATAATTACTCAGCATTTTAAAGAACGTTTGCCCTGTCTATCCTGAGGATGTTCAGTTTAGTGGGCTCTTCACTGTTAAAGCCTGTGGGATATTTAAAACTAATTCACTAACTGCAGGCAACATATATACTCCTCCAATAGGAGGTTAAAAGGATGGCTAAGGAAACAAATGTCCCTGTTGTTCCCTGATTATTAAGGATGAAATCTCTTGCCCTTATCTTTTGCAAACCATATCACTGTTACTCATTTCTTCCACTGACCAGTAATAATAGTTGACACCACAGTGAGGTTACTTTATCTTTTAAAGACATGAGTCTACTAATGCAGTAAATTCAGAGCACACGACCCTGAAGATTAAGGGAAAAAAACTCTTATACAAGTAAAAATAACTTTAAAAAAACAGTGAGGCAGTCATGGCTGCTTATCTCAGATGTGTTTCAGAGACATTGTAAATGTTAACATAATAGGAGGAGACAAATCAAATTTTAAAAGCAAACAAAGTGCAGAGAAATGGAGACATAAACATGATATGATAAAAGAAATGGCACAAATTAGCTTCATAAAAACTTTTGGAATTTGTTTTCTTTCCTTCTAATTTTACAATGTTAGATCCAATCGTAAAGAGCGTCAATGTGTCTACCTCAGGAACACATCAGAACCTGAGTCTAGAGTTCCTCTATTTTCTCTGTTATGCTCTCTCCATTTCACAAGTAAGATTTATTTATCTTTCTTCCTGAAAGCCAGGTCTCTCAGAGTAGTTGAGAGGTATTTAAAGTATATACATGAGGAGGATATAGCAGAAAATAAATCACAGTATCAGAGGTGGTAATGGAAGGAAAACATTATTTTCCAGATGGACTTAACATAGAACTCCGATTTACCGGGAGGCTTTGGTCTTCACTAGGAAGAGGCAAACTGTACAAATATTGAAGACGGTTGTTTACAACAAGGTAACGAAGGAGGACTGATACAAAGTAGGTGTGAAAGGTGTTTCTTTACACTGTCAGACATTTGTTAAGTCTTAGATTTAATATAACATATGCTTTGTAGACACACACACATATACATATATTAAATATATGTCTATAGTTACAGTTACAGGTTCCATCATATAACATCATGTTGGTATGTGGTTTTATTTACTGGCGATTTCAACTAAATGGCAGATTAATTATGAACATTTCACTATGAACCATGAGAATATCTGAAATCAAAACTGTGCACATTTTAGCCACAAGGGGCGCTAGATGTGTAACTTCCTTGATTGGTGCTCTTTAAGGAACTGGCAACACTACAGTGTTGCAAAATTCAAGCGTCTCTCTCACTGGTTTAGAATATAATCGCAGACTATCCTGGATTAGCATATGTCATGGAAGTTACTTGTGAATAAAAGGCCACATTCACCACTCTAGAGGAAATGCTACATCAGGGAACCAACAATATGTCAGCGATCTGTTTTGATGCCCAAAAAAGCAGCTCTATAGGGTTGGCTTATGTATTGAAGGGGAACTAAAGCAATGCTTCAGTTAAAATAAAAACACAGGTAAGCCCCCCAAACAATGTGACGAGCAAATTTATACCTGCGGTAGTTTGTTTTTCAGCTACCAATATTTGGTACCTGGAAAGTTCTTTCTGCTCAAACATTGGGCAACTATTTATTTTTCTTTTTAGCATTTCTTTATGTTAAATAAAAAGTATGTTAAAGTGTCACCTAAAGGACCAAATGTCTGGGTATGTGGCAACAAATAGTCCTCATTTGACAACAATCTTATTGTCTGAAGATCTTTGCAAAGGGAAATACTTTGAGATGGTGTGTTGTTATGCCTTATTGGTAATTCAGACATGTTTTCTTTGCATTTCTTGTTAATCCTTTGCAAACAAAATTGACAGAATAATCAATACAGATAAAATAAGGTTTAATTAAGGGCAAATCAAACAAACGAGGTGCAGCACTAACAAATAGAGCCTATATTCCTCACTTTTCTCTGTGAACATGAGTGTAAGGAGTAAACTTGCCCTTTGATTGTTGAAAAACCTTAAAGTATTCTATAACACCTTTTAATTTATAAACACAGACCCCTGAGATCTTTCATTATTTTTTGAGTGCAGAAGGATTCTTAACCTTTTCTAGTGACGTAGGAGTAAAAGTGATACGTTTTGTTTCTCCCCATGTGAATTCATACTAGCCGTTACAGCATATTTTGCTCACCTCCTTCTCTGTTCACAAACACTCATGTTCAGCCGACCGGTATTTAAGATTCTCCCTCCATCTGCTTCTCCCTCTCTGTTTGTCTTGGCCAGTTGGTGCAACCAGAAGCATTTCTGCATACCTAGGTTGGGGTTTTTGGGTTGGGGGAACTTTCCAGAGTTTTTTTATGACATTAAGACCAATGTTTTCCAGCACATTAAACTCTTAGGTGGCCTTCCAGGATGTGCTTTTTTTTTTTCCTTGCCACATTTAGGAAAGATATAGTGAAGATAATCTTGGTTACATTTTTCCTCTTCTTTCTAATTCTATGCCATATATCAGCATTAAACACTCAGTTCGGGTAGATTTAGCTCTTAAATGTAGGTTTAAAGTTTGTAAAGCTAGTTATAAATGTCAGTTGGTGCCCAAAGAGCAAATTTGCCTTCTGTTATCGTCTGTCCACTTCTTAGTAGCCATTAAAAGAGCCCTAAAGTCTGTTTTATTACCTTTAAATGCTAATGATGTAGTTTTTGTTGAATGAATTGAACAGGACTGCACAATGGGGAGCACAACAAGGTTCCGGGTTTGATTCCCAGTCCAGGATCTTTCTGCATGGAGTTTGCTTGTTCTCCAGAGCATGCATGGGTTCCTTCCGGGTACTCCAGCTTCCCCCCACAGTCCAAAAACATGACTGTTAGGTTAATTGGCTTCTCTAAATGCTCCTTAGGTGTGAGTGTGTGCTTGAATGGTTGTTTGTCCTGTTTGTCTCTGTGTTGCCCTGCGATGGACTGGCAACCTGTCCAGGGTGTACTGTACCCCATCTCTCGCCTTTAGAAAGCTGGATATAAGCACCAGCACTCCTCACCACCCCGCTTGGAATAAGCATGACAGAAGATGGATGGATGGATGGATGGATGGATGGATGGATGGATGGATGGATGGATGGATGGATGGATGGATGGATGGATGGATGGATGGATGGATGGATGGATGGATGGATGGATGGATAATTGAACAGGACTGCTTGGATGCAATTTTTGGTTGGATATTTTATTTCAGGCTTACTCTGAGTAAGTAAGAGTAACTAAGAGAGTCCCCAGCTGCTTTCAAGGGAAATGTAGGTAAATTACAACTAATATCACCATCACAGTATTGAAAATGAATATTTTTATTGTATGTTTTCCTGGTGTTGTGTAACATTACCTGCCACAGATCTGTTGGCTCCTGTAAGCTGTAAAGGCTTGTTTTTAACCGAAAGGTTCTTCTTCAAACAGATGTTGAGATCACCATTAAATGGATAACTGGACAGATTTGATTCCAGTTCCAGCACGGCCTGACTCTGTTTCACATGGGTGTGCTATGTTAGAGTTTTGACTTGCCTCAAAAGACGTTTAGATATGTGTCGAAGTGACAGCCCTGTGAAACTAAGTTGTAGTTATTTCTGGCAAAACAGTGCAGTGCTTTGCATCAGGCCCGCCATGATGTCATACTTGGTTCTGTCAGGACTGTTATTTTCTTACTCTGTTTGCCTAGAAACTGGTTGTTGTATTTTCTTATTTCCAACTGCATGCTACAAATTGATTTGTGTTAATGTTGTAATATACAGATATTATACAGGTTTAATTGTTTTTGGTTTGTTCTGTTAATGTTTGGAGCTTTCCTCCTTGTGCTGAAAGTTTTGAAATGGCGGTGTAATCAGATTGGATATGAAATGCAGAAGAGGGCCTAAGCCCAGCTTAGTGCTGTCATAGAACCTACAGTGTATCTGGTTTAATGGGTTAAAAAAACAGCAGTTTGTCTTCATAGTTGCTCTCATATCCCCTTTATTAAGTTAAACATAAACTGTCAGTTAGATGACAAACACTTAACCTTTTTCAGGGTCTGTTTGAGGGCTGAAACAATCAGATTAATCGCAATTTATTGATTATTGCAATAATCAACTAATTTAGTAAACGATTAATCGTTATCTGGAGTAGATACTGTAAAATATGCCTTTAGCTAACAAGAGCGACCCACTTAGAACAGTAATTATATCAAAATAGTTAAAAAATGTATAAACATTTTGCATTTAAAATAAAATGATTTTTCGTCTGTCAATATGTCCTATCCAGAACTCCTCAAGTTGAAAAGTTTTTGTTTCACCTGGTTCAGTTTTGTAAAACAACTTAAAGGAACCTTTTACCATCAGATTATTAATTGAATAATTGAAAAAATAATAGACAGATTAATTTATTTGCAAAATAGTCATTTTTTTAATATATTTTTTTATATTCATTATTAAAACCTCTCCAATCTTGTCCATCTTCTAGTGCCCTTCATCCGCCTTGAGGCTCCCATGAACAACATCACCACATCTCTGGGTCAAACAGCCGAGCTTTTTTGCCGGGTGTCCGGGAACCCGACGCCTACGGTGCGTTGGCTGAAGAATGATGCCCCTGTTGTGCAGGAGCCAAGGCGGGTCTCCTACCGAACCACGCAGTACGGATCCCGCCTGCGTATCCGCGACCTGGACACTACAGACACAGGCTACTTCCAGTGCGTTGCCAGCAACGATCATGGCTCCGTTTCCACAACTGGGGTGCTGTTTGTCAAATTTGGTGAGTGATAGTCTGTAGTGGGATTTAAAAAAAAAACACTCAATAGCACAGAAATACAGTGTTACAATGACAGGCCCTTTCCTCTGCTCATCCTTTCCAAGAACATCACAGCGACACTTATCCCATCTGATTCCTCTCTTAGTTGGCTGCTAGCACAGAGAAAATCTGGAAGCCATCTTGTTTATCCTGTTACAAAAATCCCCTCTCTCTTTTTCCAGATCCACTCCCCACACCTCTGTCAGGAAGACCAACGTAAGTAGTCTTTCCTTAATGCATTTTCTTTCCATCTGCTTGTTTATGCTGCATGAACAACAGGGAATGTATTAATTTTCTACAGATGGCAAATTATACTACATCCGTTTCACAGTTCGTATTATTGTAAATAATTACTACAAGATTCATGAAGTTATGAAAATATCATATTTTCTACTATAGTTTCTACCAGAACCATATTTATGGATTTTTTAACAATCAAAAAGTCATAAAGTTGTCAGATTTTCTTCCACTACTTAAACAAAAAAATCAAAGATGAAATCTAGACCCTGTGTAGCAGTACTCTAGGTAATGACTGAATTTAATTACCAATTTAGTTGACAAATTGTACTATTTTTTTTTTCTCGATTAATAGTTTCAGACATAGGCTGATGTTTGTTGTTAAGAAATAGACTAATTGTACTTTGTACTAGAAACTTTACAGTTGCAGGGTAGATTAGTTCATTTCTATTTCACACAATTTTGCCCTAAGTGAAAACAGCAAAATAAATCCTTACACTGAACTGAAAGGGATCTTAAGCCTGTTTTTTTTTTTGCTATTTTAAGTGTAAATTCTGTTATAATTGTGGCTTATACAATAGATAGTAGAAAAACAAAAACAAATCCCTTTTCCATGAAACTAGTAAATGATTTTTGACATAAAAATTTAATGCTGAAGCCATTTTGCTCTTCACATTCATGGACACTCTGATTGGCTGTTTAGAGCACTTTATCCAAACTTGTCAAGCTTGCTAACAAAAAGGTTAGGTGGAAGTGTAAACCTGTAAGTAAAAAAAAAAACCTAGTTGTTAAATAAGGTCTGGAGGGTTGTGACACATTCGAAGAGTTATGGAAATTATGAATTATTTTAAAATACGACAATAAACAAAGAAAAGAGGTGTAATATTAAATACATTTTATAAGTAAAATCTATTTGATTTAAATGATTAAAAAAAAGCCAGACCACATCTGGACTTCAAAGAAAACAATGCAATTTTACCATCAGCTCTACATTTTACTAGAGGTCAGTGGGACGTCCCCTGCACGGTCTGATGGGATTCTTATTTCCTGATTCTTTGGATGAGGTTGATTTCTGGTGCATCTTGCAGCCATTTTGTTGAGTAAAACTTAAAGTGTTTTGTTTGTTTTTTATTGTTCACCTCTTAGCTCACATGGTTTGAATCTAAATGGCGACTGTTTACTATTAGCTGAGGTGGAAACGTAAATCAAGTTGACCAACTGAAACAAAAGGTCTGTAGACCAGATGGACGACAGAAACTGGTACAAAAACTTAATCAGAATCTTCTCACCAGAGACTGTATGGATAGGTAAGATCAGTGGAACCTGAACTTAAATATTCCACAAATATTCAATGTGGTTTAAGGAAAACCTAACAAAGGTTTCAGTTTGAAACTCTCACTAAAATGGTTGAAATGCATGGTATTCAAAATGCCCCACATCTGTCTGTATGGTTTGGCTTTTATTGCTTTTAATAGTAACCCAATTAGCTGCCAGCCACAGCGCTGATTGCTCAACATGAATGGAACATAAGGGCGGTCTTCAGGGTGGCAAATGAAAGCAAACAGAGAAGATTTCTGGGCATAGAGACGCTGTTGTCTGCAGGAAAATTCACTTTGAGTTTGGCTGTTTTTTTGCGTTAGTTTTGACATTTCCTCGGCCTTATTGAATAAAGCACCATGAACTCTGGTTGTTGATTTGATTCTGAGAGGATCAAAGGACACAGCCTGGAAGATTTTCCCCAGTGACATTATGCCAAGGCTCGCTGCCATGTTCAGAGCAGCTTTCTGCTGATCGCAACTGCCAGCCCTAATTGGATATCGCACACTTACTAAATCAACCCCCGTGGCTGAGGTAAATGAGATAACCGTCATCTACATGCTCACACTAAAACAAGGGTCTCCCCTATGAGTGGTTCAGTCTTCACTTTGTTAACCTGTTTTTAATTTTTCTGCAATGACGTCTTTTTTTATGAAGCAGTAGGAGAGATGTTTTTCTTTTCATGGAGACCAAATAAACCGAAGTGAAAACTTGAAAGAGGTAAAACATGTTCATGTTTCCATGGTTTTCTCCCTGAATTTTTTTTTTTTGTTTTTTAGACCCGCAGGAATTTACAGACACCTTTCTTTAACTCCCAATCAATGCATAAACTTATATGACCTATTTATCTGTTGCTGTGTACAGATATTGGTCTTTTTTTCTTGCTAGGTTTTAAAGCTTTATGCATTTGATTTAAAAAAATCTTCCTGCCTATATGTAACACTTGGTCTTCTGGTGGTGAAATATCTGTTTTACCTCCATTGCCTTCTTCCTGCCTCTGCTGCAAAGGAGCTGAGATGATCACTCAGGGACGTCAAAGAAAATTAACTTTTAATAGTATTTTAACAGTATTTGAACAGAACCATTACTATATGCCATTTTACCCCAAAAATAAAAGTAGGTTAACATTTACTGCAATATTTTCTTTAGGCCTGGACATGTTTAAACCTGTCGCAGTAGAGCAAAGACCATTGTGAGCTTGTTAGTCATTACAGTCATTACTTGATTTAAACAGACAGCGGCCTGTTTGGACGGCGGCAGTACAACGGCGATATTGTGCTGATTGTCGCTGCTGCTCATCGTTAGTGTCACGCCCAACTTATTAGCCGTGGAGTCAAGGTGGCAGCCGTGACTGAGATGAGGTCAGCTAATGATGACAAGGGATGACCTGTGCCCGCTTATTAATACCGCAGCTGTTCAAGCATCAAATCTCTCAACATCTGGAGCAGAAGCTTGCAGATGAACAGATTTGACTTTCACTATTCCTTTGCCTTCTTCCACACAGGTACACACAGTGACTAACATTTTCCTGGTTTATACTATCAACAAATATTCTTTACAAATTTTGGAGGGGGGTGGAGTTCCCACCACCCACTGTGTTAGACCTTAGCACAAGGCGAACTTCAGCTCTTGTGTGTTGTCTTTGCCATGATCCGTGCTCTGATTTCCATCCTCTCCACACTTGGCTAAAGTATATACTCTGTGGTGAGCAGAACATACAGTTGTGTTTGTTGGGGTGTTTGTATCTAACCTGAAGCTTGGGTTTTCAAGGTTAGCCACAGGCAAACTGACAGCCCAGAGGTTGGAGCTCAAACTCCAGGCAGCCTGTGTGCAGAAAGGCTTCCATAGAGTCAAGGAGTGAATCTAATTAAAGCAGATCTTAGTTACAGGAATAACAAGGGATCTTCATAGCCTGTGTTGTGGCTCTGAATAGGTTTAGCATTAAGATAATAGTACAGAAGATTATTTGTATTGTCAGTCACATTTCTATCCATTTCTGACACTTCTATTATCCACCCATCTCATCCTGCAGTAGGTTTTAATCTTAAAGACTATCTATTGTACAAAAACTTCGCATGAATTCTGTGTGAATTTGTTATTTTGAAATTAAACCCCTGAAATTAGGGTTTTTTGGATGTAAGGAAATTAATCAGATGATATCTTGATTAAAAATAACACTGTATAAAATAAGAATGTAATAGAATATCAACAGTTGTAATTATATAGCATGTATTGCTACTCAAAACATACACTTAAAGGGATAGTTCGGTATTTTTGACATGAATCTGTATGGCATCCCCATCACCAGTGGCATGCAATCACACTGACTTACCCCTGGCAGCGTCCTGTGAGCAGAGTTATCGTCCAGTTTTGGTCAAGCCGAAAGTAGTCCGACAGGTTTTTAGGAACAGTGAAATAAAACTTTTCTCTTCCCAAAACATTATGTGTTCAAAAGAGTGATATTTTTGCATCCCAAAAACATTGTAGTGGAAAAAGTCACACGTCGTTATCAATTGGTCCTATTTTCTCTCTGTTCGTATCAGTGCGCGCCGTCATTCAGACAGCGAGCCCAACAACAGCCATGTCTCCCTCCGCCCAGCTAGGCATTTAGGGACCTCTTTCGCATAATGTTTATTTGACTCTATATTGTACCAAATCATATTTTGATATAGACAATTTTTTGACTACCTACTCTAAGTAAACAAGATGTTTTTTTTTTTGTTTTTTTTATAGTGTAGAGACCTTGAAAGAGACTGTATAAATTTTTTTTTTGGAATATGCATGTCTGTGTTTTTCTTAGTTATTAATGCAGAGGTTGAAGGGTTAGGAGCAGATACCTAAACCAAAACAAGCCAAATAATTGGATATCGAAGGCATGTTGCCGTGAGAGATCTGTGGATTTCCATCGTTTCGCCACTTCTTATTGTTCTGTGATTCGAAAAAGGGCAAACTTTGATGACTTCAAAGGCAAAGCATTCCAGTGAGGTCAAGCAACAAAAACAAGTGAGTGGATGTGGTCACAAAGAGTTCTGGAATTATGTTGATTAAATTGTTCAAATAGATGACATTTCCAGATTTAGTTTTGCTCTTTTACTTTAATGGATTCCGTAATGATAAAAACCTGAACAAACAAAATACAAGCAGTCAAAAAGCAGAAGACTTTACCTAACCTAAAAATCTAGTGACTAATGACATTTCCGTACAGATCTGTTTTGTTCATAAACCTGCTGTGATCGATTTCCCATTCTAAAGGGAGTAGCAGCAGGGAGCAGATAGTTTTTTAACTGCTTTTCTCAGCACCTGACCAGAACACGTTCTGGTAATTTAGAATCAGTACTTGTAGAGAACCACACCTCCTCCTCTGATTTTACGATATTTTGCCCTTTTATCAATTTGTCACACTGACCGATTATTAACAAATACGCATTCAATGGAAAGAAATTGCAATTTTTAAACTCTTTACAATCAAAAATCATTGCAACACCTCCTGAAGCAATACTTAGTTGAAGCACGTTTCTTGTTTCTGTTGTGCTTTACTTTACTCCATGTTTCCTAGTTTTATTGGTTTAATTCCTGTTTTGTTGTAATTTCTAGATTTATGTTAGTTCTATTGTTTTTCTGTTGTCCTCTGTTGCCCTCTTGTGTGTGTGTGTGTTCCTTTC